AGGGAGGGTTAATGGGGAACTATGAAGGGGCCGACACGCGCGTGTGTGTTGTGTGCATACCCATGGTTTTTCGCATGGTCTTTGTGAGCTGCCATGCGTGGCCTACTGCTCTGAACTTGCCACCGCCAAACCGCTGACAACCGAGACAAGGTTAATACCAGATTCATGAGCTTGAACTGGACGGGGTGGCGGAAGCTGTTCCTGAAGGGACTGATCCCTTACCCGGCGGACAAAAGCTTGAGATGGGACCTGACCAATGCCGAAGCAGTACAACGTCGTTCCAGAGGTACGACCAGGCTCTGACGAAATTTCGGACGACGCGTAAAATGGCGTGATACCAGTATTCATATTGCAGCTGCGAAACGCATCAAAACCTGGAAGTTAGTCATGACGGGGGGTTACAAACATACCCACATACATGAATACATACGTGCAAACAATACGTATGTAACTCAAAATTTTTAACGTCTATAAATCGTATCCTAGTATAATAGGTAGGGACGTTCCCTACGTAATCTACCTGGGCACGATCCGTAGACGAAAGAAAATTTTGCAGGCATCTTATCACATCTTATCATATATATTATTATTATTATTGTTATTATTTCATCGCGCCAGCCGCAAGCCTTGCATCTGCCTTAACAGGAACAACGGAGCCCCGAGGGGTTTTACTCACTATGGTTCCCGGGTCACCGTGACATACATACATACATACATACATACATACATACATACATACATACATACATACATACATACATACATACATACATACATACATACATACATACATGTTGACTCACTTGCACATCGGGAATGGCTTCGTGATACTGGGCGTACAGTTTTGGGTTTTAATGAGGTTTAAGCACCCTCCTGCTGAAGCCTCCAGATAAAACGGCTTATTGAGATACAGCCCACAGAGCGCTTTATCCAACTCCGAGAAGGCGAAGCGGAAGGCGTAGGAAAAATTTTCTTCCAGCTTAGCAATTAAAGCGGAATTCACCTGAAACTTGCCACATATGCGAATCGAATCTGCCATACAATTATCCGCATTAACGGCGTATTCTTGTCTAATGGATGCGTTAAATGATTGTAAGATGGTCATGGCGCTACTGGAGAGATATTCTTGGACACGAGTACAGAGGTTACGGCCAATGGTGAGGGGCGGGAAAGTGGGGGCATCTCTGATGGTTATTCGTATGCAGCCCTCACATTCGGTCTTCACGACCTCTGATGGGGGAGCGGGCGGTAGGGGGGGCGGAGGAGGGGGAGGAGGAGGTGGCTGGGAGGGGGGCGGCGGCGGCGGTGGGGGGGGTGGGGGTGGCGGTGGGGGGGGAAGCGGCGGCGGCGGTGGTGGGGGTGGGGGTGGTGGCGGCGGCGGAGAGGGAGGGGGCGGTGGCGGCGGTGGCGGTGACGGTGCAGGGGAGGGTGGAGGCGGAGAGGGCGGCCGTGGAGAAGGCGGCGGTGGTGGCGGTCTGGCGGGAATCACGTTTGAAATAGGGCAGCATGTGTCGGTGCTGTTGAGGCTATTCAACAGGGCTACTTGGCATGTCCCTGGAGGAGAGCTGGCTGACGGCGGCACACAGAACTCTTCCAGAGTATCGCAGCCGGCGCCGTTCACACCAGCCGTGAGGTTGAGGCAGAGCTCAGCGTTGTTGTCCGATAAACCCATGTTCAAGTTTGTCAGGCGCAGTATGAACCTGTAGCTGCCGTCCGGCATGGTGTACCGATAAATGCTGGGGCCGACGCTGGTGAACTTGCCGTTGACGAGGGCCTTGATGGATGCATACTTGGCAGCACATTTGCCGTAGACGTCGAACTGTTACGATTGCGGCAAGACGGGGTTCTTGCGTTTTTATGACGGACAACAAACAATTGGTGAGCTATCCGAGGATCACTACCTCGACTACAGCTCGCGACATAAATATTCGGATAAAAGCGCAACAAAACAAACCAGTCTGTGCATGTTTGTGCTGTAATTTTCAGGGCGCGAAAAAGAGTACATGTTGCCTCAATGGCAAGCGTGACATGAAGCTTGTTCTAGCACCAACAAGTAGCTTTGCACGCCATCAGCTTTTAAGGCTCAAACGTTTTCGGCTACTATTTTCATTATAAGTATAAGATTTGGTCTTTTATTCCAAACTTGATGATTCGACACACAGCTGCAGACATAGCGAGCTTTGCAGCAGCAAACTTGCAACCTGTTGCAACCAGCCGCGCACACCTCGATCTTCTTCAGGTCGACGTTGCAGCACGGACCCCTGCAGTTTGTAGCGTTGGCCCGAATTGTGAAGCAGTACATGCCTGGCCCTTTGACCGTCACACCGCCCGTGATGCTGTAAGGCGACGGATATGCAGGTTGGCGTAAGCAATCGCAGTAAGGGAACCTAGGGTCAACAGCCCCTTGAAGCTCCTCCTCAACGAACGTGTCAGCTGCCGCTGTGGATATCCTGCGTGCGTCAGGATTCAGCGCAAGTAGCATTTTTATCAAGCGAACGAAGATATTGCACAATACGGAGCGCTACAGATCTGAAGTAAAAACACCTGCACACTTCTAGGGGTGCTATGTGCAGTACGAAGGGGCCTGTGCAGAAAGCTCAGGAGTATTTGCCGCCTTGTCTTACCAGGATGGAGCTAGTAGAGCGCAGCAAACAAGGCATCTCAGCCATAACCCCCATGAAGGGTGTCGCGGTTTCATAATGGCTGCGCAGCCAAGCTGACAGAGATCAGGCAGGCTAGCGCAATTATTGGGAAAGTATGGAGGGGAAGTTCACCACTGGGTTTTTGTACTCAGATGACCAAGACGATACGGCAATCGATCGTCAACGGGTGTGGTTGGAGGCGGTTTCAAACAAACAGGCTCCATGGGCCTGTTGCAGCATAGGTATTGATGATTAGCATACCAAGCACACGGACAGGTGCCGCAAAAAGAAATAGATTTCATGGTGGTACTTGAGGGGCCGCCCGTAGCACTCTCATTAGCTCGCGCATTGGGTTGAGCACGGGAGCAGCCGCGCCGTGTGCAACTTCTCGTTCGGCGAATAGGAGCAGAAAAGGAGCAGACGCGTGCGTGGCACAGATCCCCAAACTGCATTCTTGTCAATTGTTAGTCTAATTTATCCTTTTCGCAAACTTTACCCTCATTCTTACGTCTTTGGAACGTATTATTCGCTAGCCCTTTTTTCCGTCCTCGGGGTAAGTTTCAATTTGCGGTCGAATGCTAAAGCTATCTATCATAGATAATCTATGCCTGTATAGAGGTTGGCGCTTCAGAATCCTCTTTGCGGCTGCGTTGGTTTCACGGCATACGTCGGGAACCGCTGCCTACTAGCCATGACGGCGCATAGTTCATAAGAGACCTACGGGCTATAATTCCGAGGCCTTTTACCAGATTTTTCGGCCAGTGCTTTTATTCTTAATAGGCTTTCCTAATGGGGCAAGTGCGGATTGGAGTGGCTCTGCAGAGCTAAGCAGCTGCTTAACATGCATGCACCTTCTTAGTTGACTGCCCTGCGGTTTCTACATCTTACACTTTTAAAAATACAACGAAATGCCTATGACACAACAGACTAGTTTCGGTTAAGCCCTTAGGGTTCTACATCGCGTAGCGGTCCTCACGTTGCCGCTGTGCGAAAGATCCTGCGTAAGTCCAAACGTTCACATGTTGTCGCAACAAAAGATCTGACACCCACAGGATTCGAGCACAATATCCAATGACCCATCAAAACCAAATCATGTCCGGTCTTCAACGACAAAAATGCAGTCCGGCTGTGTGATACGATACCTCAACTGCCTCTCCGCGCCCGTCAAACGCCTCTCCACGCGCGTCAAATACCTCTCCCCGCCCGCCTCCTTTTTTTACTGTTGTCCACACCAATTCACACTGCTTTAGGTCACTATTACTGTACAGCATCGGCAGGAGAGTGCGGTTACGTGGTGGACCATCATCGTCCTCGCTCGTCCGCTTCAGCAACGTGTCAGGTCTCCCAGAATTCCGAGAGGAACCTGGCTAGTGCCAGGGGTGGGGCCTCGGTCATAATCGTGCCCACGTCGCGCCATGAACGCGAGGTCACGTTCATATTTAGCCCATGTACTTGTGTAAGCCGGGCATTCCGCAAAAACATGCATTTCATCTTCGACTGCCCCACAGTCGCAAGGCCTGCAGGTGCTGACAGTGCGCTCACAGCCATTAGGCCGATTAATCTATACCTCCCAACAGCCTAACCGGAAACGCATCAGCACGTACTGCAAACAGTTTCGGCCCGGGCCAGCCACTTGTGCCACGTGCCCCTAAGCGGGGGCGCCCCCATCCAGTTCAGATCAGAAGCGACATGCCTTGACACCGGTACTTCCACCCGGGAAAGCACGTGGATCACTTAGGGTATCCGGGCACTCCCACCAGGCGTCCAGCCGACCAGCGAACTTCTGAAGTATACGTCCCACGGTGGCGTAATGCACAACGAGATCGTCACCACGCGAACCGGCCGGAAGCTCGGCTCCCAAACTCTTTTGGAAAGCTTTTGGAGAGGACCTTGCCTGTCCAATACTCAGCAACAACCTCCAGTGCCAGGTCATGGTCGGCAACGAAGGCCCGGTGGCACAGTGTCCCCGGCCTCTTAACAATTGAGTTCCAGAACCTTAGCACAAGGTTGGCCCAATGGAACTGGAGCGGCCTTTGTGAAAGCTCGCGATAAAGGGAAACCATAACCGGGCTCCTCTCTCTTACCACTGACCACATGTACTCGTTTTGCTCCTGAACCATTGGGTTCGCCATTGCACCCTCGAAATTCACACCAATAAAATCAGGTCCCCAAACTTGCGCCCCACATGAAAAACGGCACAACGAGCGCAATGTAGAGGGACATGCACAGTCCAAGTAAGCATTGGGCTCTCTGGTGGCCAGTTGCAACAAATGAATACAGCTTATGACCCGCACATCAGGCACGCTTCCTTGTTTTCCAAGCTGCAAACCATGGCAGCGAGCTGCTGCTCCCGTTCCAGCTGAGCCAACTGAGCTGCGCGACGCTCCGCAGCCGCCGCGACAGCCGCGGCGCCGCCTCCCGCCAAGGCCGGAGTCGTCGTGGTTGACGGCAGCGTGGTTGCGGCAGTGGTGATGTTGGGCGTGGGGGTCACGGCGCCCACTGAGAACTTGCCGGTGGGCAGCGAGAGCGTGGGCGGCGGATTAGAGGCCTTCTTGCGAGACAAGGCCTGCTGGTCGACAGTGAACTTGATGGCATCGGCAGCAGCCCTGAAGGATGGACCAAGTGCATGAAAGACAGGGATAATCACCGCTGCAGAAATCTAAGACAAAATGCGCATTCAGGTTCAAAAAAGAAAGTCCTGGCAGGTGCACTGTCCGGCACTGGCATGTCGAAATAGGTGAAAAAGAGTAAAGAATGGCACAACTAGTACTAGAAAGAGTTACGAGGTCACGCTCACTTGGTCCGCAGGTAGTACATTCCAGTTTTGAGACCCTTGCGCCATGCGTAGAAGTGCAGCGACGTGAGCTTGCCGAAATTAGGATCCGGCATGAAGACGTTGAACGACTGCGACTGGTCAATGTAGGCCCCGCGGTCAGCGGCCATGTCCACTAGCGTGCGCTGCTTAATCTCCCAAACCGTCTTGTACAACGCCTTGAGCTCGACTGGGATGTCCAAATCAGCCACGCTGCCGTTAGCCGCCACCTTTGGAAGCCGAGGGAACACACAGGCGCAGGTCCCCCGAAACCGTCAGTTTGCCGAACTCCCCATATCCGGACCCTGTCACCAAAGGCTAGCACTTCATGGTATTTACAAAGTTCACGGTTAAAAAATGGAACCAGTAGTAGCGCTCCGTACTGCATGCCGTATCCCTGTATAAATATTCCGTAAACTAATTCATAGGAGTTGGACAAGACTAAACAGCAATGCACGTTTTGGGCCACGCATACGCCACTCATTACCAGCTCGTTCTTCAGCTCCGGACTCCAGAGACCCATTCTGTTCAGGTCGTGAAGCAAGTGCTGGTTCACAACAGTAAACTCGCCCGATAACACGCGCCGAACGTAAATGTTCGAGGTGTAGGGCTCAAAGCACTCGTTGTTGCCCAGGATCTGGGACGTCGAGGCTGTGGGCATGGGGGCAACCAAGAGGCTGTTCCGGACGCCGTGACGGGCGATGCGGTCACGCAGAGCTGGCCAGTCGCACCTAACAAAAGGGAAAACACGAACAAAAGCCGTTGAACCTAAGTAAAAAATTATCTTTGAAGAAAGGTCAAACAATACTGGACGAACATAGAGCTTTACCATGACAGAACGTGTACATGTGTGATGACACGCAACAGTGCAACAAGCTGCTGCATCATCACCGCGTTTCAAACATACCTAAGGGTTCTGCACCCTGACTAGGATTATGAAACCCAGCTCACCTGCTGCCGACGCCAGTAGGCTTTACACCCCACATGTCGGGCTGCAGGATGCCCTGGCTCACAGGCGAACCCTCGTACGTTTCGTACGTGCCGTCGCGCTCAGCTAGCTCGCACGAGGCCGACAGGGCAGCATAGTAAATGACCTCGAAGATCTGGCGGTTGAGCTCCGCAGCCTCGGGCGAGTCGAAGGGCATACCAAGTATAATAAAAGTGTCCGCCAAACCCTGTATGCAAAACCAGAGGAGATCATCAGCAGCTGCAGAACGACAATAGCACAACATTTTTGCAGGAATGTTGAATTGGAATATACAGGAATATACAAGAGCACCACGAGCTGACCGTAATCCCTCAGATCACGCATATGGGCAGCAGGACAACAGATGGTTCAGATGGCTGTGCAGCCTGCAGAGACGAGCCTACCTGGACGCCGAGCCCAATAGGGCGGTGACGCATGTTGGACTTTTGGGCCTTGGGGTGCGGATAGTAATTGACGTCGATGATCTTGTTCAGGTTGCGGGTGGCCATCTACGTAGCAGTGGGCCGTTCACATCGTCGTTCCAGCACATGTCGCGCATCATTGAGAGCATGGGTCCAGATAAAAATAGACAGTCCATGTATGCATTCTGGCGAAAGGGTGCATAACAGCACGATCTAGTCACCATCATACACATCCAAACATACCACACAAGCGCACGCAGCGGTAACAGGAAAATACGAGATCGAACAGCAAAACATCGCAACCGGACCCTAAGTTTACCTGGGTCATTTCCGCCAGCTTCTCGAAATCGAAAAAGCGGTTGGGCGCATCCAGGCTGCCAACCAACTTCTTAGACTCCCACCCAGGCTGACTGCCCCGCTCACGCACGAAGCGGGGAAGCGCGATGGATGCAAGGTTACAGACCGCGATCTCGTCGGGGCTGTGTGTTGGCGGGACGGTAGACAAAGACGGGAGTATGGTGGTTAGCAAACATCCAAGGAGTAGCTCGAGCGGCTCCCGGTGACAAAAATACCGCAATCTAGTAATTTAAACGATAGTAATCGTACGAGAGGTCAAACAGGTAAGCCCACCAACATTAAAGCTCCATGGATTGGAGTCCGCACGACGAGCGGCATCCGTACCATCTATACATTTCATTCGTCAAAGTTTAACAACGTAGTGCTCATCCGTAACTTATTTGATGCTCACAAGGACGCCGTCACGCCGTCGGATGATATACAGACCTGGTGTACTCAATAATCTCGGTGCACAGATTGGAACACTTGATAGTGCCCAGGTTCTGCTGGTTGGATTTCTTGTTGCACGAGTCCTTGTACAACATGTACGGATTGCCCGTCTCCACCTGAGCCTCCAGGATGGCAAACCACAGTTGCTGCGCGCGCACCACCTTGCGTGCCCGGCCCTCGCGTTCATACTGCGTGTACAGGCGCTCAAAGTCTGCTCCCCAGCACTCAGCCAGGTCTTGCGCCTCGTTGGGACAGAAAAGGCTCCACTCCTTGTCCGCCTCCACACGCTGAAAAGACAACAGCAAGATACGGATGTCGGGACACGATATCAAAGCACACGCTAGACGCAATGGAGATGCTTAAATAAAAGAACGGTCGCAGAACAAAACTTCCATCCAACAAAGCCTCCACTCAATAATCCTGATGCCAAGCCTGATTTTGATAACCCTCTCTGATATCCTTACATCTCACCTCCATGAACAGGTCCGGAATCCAAAGGCCGTAGAACAGATCACGCGCGCGCGCCTCCTCCTTGCCGTGATTCTTGCGCAGATCCAAAAACTCGAAGACGTCCGCATGCCAGGGCTCGATGTAGATGGCGAAGGCGCCCTTGCGCTTGCCGCCGCCCTGGTCCACATACCTGCGTGGGATGAACGCCGGGATTTGAGGTCGAGTCCAGGGAGCTTGGGAGTCCAGGGGTTGGAGGGACAACAAAGGCTACAAAACCTAGCCTAGACCCTGGTAGATACAACATGAAATGGGGCTCATCTACCAACGGCTCGCCAGGTCCCGTTCGCTTTGCAATTTCAGTCCGTCCGAGTAGGGGGGACGCACAAGGTACCCACAACAAGATAAGGTATAACAGACGCGGTGGCGCTGCACACTGAGTTAAATACACTGCTAGGGATTCAATTCAATTCAAGAGGTTTTCAATTCAATCTGAATCATCAGGGCACAATAGAATGCGAAATACGCCGGAAAGCAACGTTTGTCGCAGCAGCCCAATCCAGGATATTCGCCCAACTGGAAACGACGCACCTCGCTGTGTCGTTAAAGACACGCAGCATGGGGACGATGCCGTTCGAGGTGCCATTCGTACCACGAATGTACGACCCCGTGGCGCGGATGCAGTGAATGGACAGTCCAATTCCGCCCGCGCTCTTGGAAATTACAGCGCACTCCTGCAGCAGCAACAACAGGAACAAAACACATTGCTGCATTTGTTATAACACGCCTAAACAAGAAGTAGCTCCATGTCCACCTAGCTTAGCACCTTCGGTCAAGCATGCATATGCTTCAATATTCGTCTGCCCTGCAAAATCTCACATGCAAACAAACACATCAACAAAGTCTGCCTGCACCAGTAGAACGGCCGGTCCGAGGTAACTTCCGCAACGCCCAAAGACAGTGCCAAAGACCAAGACCCACCTTGAGCGTGTCATAAATCCCGTCAATGGAATCGTCGCGCATGCACAGCAGGAAACACGAGCTGAGCTGCGGGCGTGGGGTGCCGCTGTTGAAAAGCGTGGGTGATGCGTGGGTGAACCAGCGTTCAGACATCGCGTGATACGTCTGGATCGCCGATTCGATGTCGTCCTGTAAGCAGTGATAAACAGTGGTCAAATAGTTGAGGCTGAGGATGAAATGCATGCTGTGCATACCCGTTGCAGACAGCCGTAGGACGCAAGGTGTAATCGTTTTGCCAGCGGTTTCAAAAGCATGGGCAATGTCCACATACGCATGACCCAACTCGAGCTTACCTTGTGAATTCCAACAGCCACGCGCATCAGCATCTGCTGAGGCCGCTCCACCACCTCGCCGTTCATCCGGAGCAAGTAAGACCTCTCCAAAGTCTTGAAGCCAAAGTAGTCGAAGTCAAAGTCGCGATCGTAGCGAATCTCGCTGTTTAAGCGCGCAGCATTCTGGGTTTGGTGCGGGGGACGGATTACGAATTATGGCGGGTATCGAGGGGGTGAGACGCATGCCTGCCAATGATTAACACCAATGAATGTGGGGTGCATTTTTTGCAGTGTATTTGAAATAACATTTCAGCTTGCGGAAACATGTGTAACATGTGTGGGAAATCGTTTATTCAACCTCGCACCTGAATTATGATTTGGAAGACCTCTTTGTCGATCAAGGAAGCCTCCTGGCCGGTCCGTGGATTTTTGTAGTTGTAAAGTGCCTCCATACTGCAGCCAGCCAGCATGCGCGATAAGTTGCGCTCGGTTGTTACATGGACAGGCGTGCACGGATTGCTGGAACCCTCAACACAACCCTAGTAACGCATGTTCCAGCCTAAGTGCTTGCCGATAGTGCTGCTTAAAGACAAGATCTGCCCCCTATTATATCAGCTCCACTCACGTTTCGCTGAAGGACTTCTTTGTCTTCTTGTGCAAGTTGGACACAGCGATGCGCGCAGCCAGCTGCAAGCAACAGCAACACCAAGCAAAATGAGCGCATCTATCATACAATATGGCAAATTCTTTGATATGCTGCGCGCTAATGTCTACTCTGCGCTCACAATTGCATAATCCGGGTGCGTAGAAGTGAGCGCGGCAGCTGTCTCAGCAGCAAGCTCATCAAGCTCCGATGTTGTGACACCTTTGTAAACACCTCCAGCAACCTTCTGGGCAACAAGGACCTGTGCGAGAAGCGCGATCAGTGGCCTGGCGGGGAAGCACCCAGCGGCGGCAAACGCATTGACAGCTAGTCGTAAATTGTTTACCGCATCACAGAAGTCCGGATTCAGGCCATAAGCAAGCTTCACTATGCGAGCCGTAATCTTGTCAAACATGACCGGCTCCTGCCGGCCGTCGCGCTTGATAACGTACATAGATGTCATTTTTGAATGAAAGCGACAACAGGCGGCGCGATACCGGACCGGCTACCCCTCCTAGGTGCTCTAAATCAATCAAATAATCACTGTGGGCGTTTCAGTAATCTGAACGGGAATGTTTTTTGTGGCGGAAGAACACTGCGACACGGTTTGGTTCAATCGAGCATAAGCGCCACCAGTGCTACGAACAATTGAAATCAATGAACCAAGGACGTGTAATTAGTGCTGCACAGCATGCTGGGTGAAATGGGTTGTTTTGGCGCCTCATAACCGTACTCATTAGGCCCTCGAAGCCAACTGAAACTTCCGCATCCAAGCACACACAATTGCGATTATGATGCGACGAGCTACGTACACGGCTTTCTCCTAGGCATGTCTCTATTTGTGCTAATGATCGACAACTGCCCAAATTCACCTTGTTGGCACAACTGAATTCCTTAAAACTCCTTTCCTAAGAGATTTCTCTCATCCTCTTAAAAATACTAGTGCATGTAGGCGTCGTGATGAGGCTTCCGCATGCCGCTTTCCTAGTTTTTTCCTTATGGGCATCTTGCGCACAACAGTACATCCTTGCTGCAAGCATTGATGATGTTGCTGGGCCCATTGTAAAACTCAGTGATTTACAAACAAAACGCGAAAATGTGACGGAGACCAGCAAGGAGAGCAAGCCGGAGACAATCGCACAAATACTGGACGCAGCACTACAAAAGGAGTTTACGAAGGAAACAAGCGAGGATCCCAAAAGCGGATCAAATTTCAATGCAACGGTGCAGCAGGAAGAGGTACGCGCTTCAGTCGATCGTTAAGGGGTATCGGTACGGCGAGCGAAGAAAAGAGCACCAAGCCGCATTTCGCTCTGGTAATGCATGCATAGTTGCATCGATTTATCTGTTCATGTCTCTCGACCTTATTAGATACCCCGCCTACGAGGCCATGTCGTCCTCCCCCGACAGCCTTAGCACCCATCACTGCAACCCCTGACAAGCGTTTTGGGATGATTCCGCTGCCAGCCATACGTTTGTTCCAAAACCTAACTTCCACCATACGCATTTATCACTTCCTCCCCCATCCCCCACCCCAACAAAACCTTCGTAACCGGCACCGGCACTGCCTTGAACTTTCCTGGCTGGCTTGACTTTTACCGTCATCCTTTGTCAAGCAAACCCAAGGCCCCATAACATGGAGGGAGCCACGGATGCGAACCTCTTCGTCATTTCCGCCCGTCCCGGGAACCGCGGTAGCACTAAATTGATCATAGCTTCTGCATCCTTAGCTAACCTCCATTACAAACATTGTGCAGAATCACCCCTACATCCAACCCATCCCGCGCCCATCCGCATCCCGTCGTGGCATTCAGGCTAAGCTCGAGACCGTCGTACGGATAGCCGGGAAGGCGACGGCGGTGCAGCAGGCCACCGCCGCCGCCGGCTCTGGCTCCAACTCCACAGACAGCGCAGTCGACGGCGGCGGCGGCGGCTCCGCCGATGGTGGCGGCGGCGGCGACAGCACCGCTGCCGACGGCGCCACGCTCGGCGGCGCCGACACGTCGTCCGGGGTAGACCAATCCTCGGACATGGCGCCGTTGGTGGAGGTGGGGCCGGACGTGGACAGAATCATCGACTCCCAGGACAATGAGTTTGTGTTGTCTAAGCCGAAGTAAGGACAAAAGGGAGCGGAGCGGGGGGTAACCTGGGACACAGTGGTCTTTGGGTTTGGTGAGAGCCTTGGTGGCCAGTGAAAGGGCCCGTATTGCCTCGATCATCAATCTGTCTGTCTGTCTGTCTGGACGCATGCCGTTGTGTGCATGTGTTGTAATGGTCTTTGGAGCCGCGCGATGGGGGCAATGGCGAGTGAATGGATCACATTTAACTTTATCTTCAATCCGGTGCATGTGCGCGTCTCTATGTGCATAACGAGTGTTTTGAAGTTGAAGGGGAGGGGCTTAGGGGGCTTAAGAAGCAGTTGGAAGACTTGGAGGCAAGCGGACTGCCTTCCTTTGCCAGGGGGCACTACAGGGCCATTAGCGGGGTCAGCCAGTTTGCAACCAGCTCCTTGCTAAACATCTCTTTCATCCTCCGCTTCTACACACCTCTCCACACACTCACCTATACCCCTTTCTTACCTTGTACGTCCCCAGTGAGAGTGTCGCCTCACTGACTCTGGACCAGCAGCTCATTCGCGACATCTCGGTGCTGCTGGTGTCGGCGGCGGTGAGGTCACCTGCAGGAGGGAGGGGGAGCAGGGGGCTGATTGTATGGGAGGGGAGGGGTAAGGGTGGGGAGGGGAGGAGAGGAGAGGAGGGAGTGGTGGTGGGGGAGGGGATAGGGAGGGTAAGACGAACCACTGGCGAATGGAGCAGATACCAAAGACGGGACAGGGAGGGGAGGGGATTGAGGAGGGGGGCTTAGGAGAGGAAGGGGAGTTTGCTGATCCAGACTTGACCCTGCAGCACTGGACCGATTGAGTGAGTGAGAGAGGGATGGGTGAGCGGGGAGGGGGGCAGAAGTCGTGGATGGACAACACCCGTCTTGCATGGTGTCGTGATGTCATCAGCTGCTGCTGCTATTGATGCTGCTGCTGTTGCAAGGGGTGGGGGGGACTAGGAAGGTGGAAGGTGGGGGCTGGGCCCCACGTGGGAGAAGGTGGGAAGTGAACTGCCGATGGTGGTGGGGGGGAGGGGCCAGGAGCTAGAGGGGTTGCAGCTGGTAGGGGCCATCTAGATGTACCTACATGCAGCTCGGGGTGTTTGGGGTGTCTCTTTGGGCTGCTTGTACAAAATACCTGCTGCACCTCCCATCTGAGCGAGTGTTGTTGGAGACCCTGCCCCAAAGAGGAGGTTGGAGGTATCTTGTGGATCCTTTTCCCTTTTGCACGCTGACCTACACCGCACGCTTCCTGCAGCAATGGTACCCAAATGACGTCACACCGCCATCACCACCACAATCACCACCACAATCACCACAGTCAGCTCACCCCCGGACCGAACATCCTCCATGCTTGCGACGCGCAATCGTGCTGCTTGTTTGGTCGCATGTGCTTGCTTGCAATCGCAGCTCTTTGGTACGCTGTTTGAGGCTGTACGGCAACCCGTCATCAACGGCTACCTGATTGGCGGCGCAGTTGTGGGGCCCGGGGGCCTCAACCTGATCAATGTACGGACGGGGGGGTGGGGTGGAGTGTGTGAGTGGCTGGGGTTGGGTGGAGGGGGCCCGACGGGCCTAGGTTAAGGTGGAAGCGCTGCGGTTGTTGTGGGGTGTTTTCCTACACCTGCGAAACATACTCCCCCTCTCTCCTCCCCCCCGCACACACACACGCTTGTACTGCATTACCATGCTAGGCCATGTCCTTCAGTAAGTCAAGTCAGGTCAGGACGTTGTCATCTCTAGCACGTTCCCAGCTCAGTTCGCGGCTTACAGCTCTTTTCAAGATGCACACAGAATCACACACAGCATATGGCCACACATGACACCGTCCTTGGGGGCCCCCTGCACGTGTGTCTGTGTGTGTGTGTGTGTGTGTGCAGAAAGATATTGTAACTTGTATAAACCCAACACATATATTTAAATAATACACACGTCTGCTCGAGCTCACTCCTCACTTCCGTTCACCTGTATTTAGTTTCCATCATATATATCCCCCACTTGCCCCCCTTCTGTCCCCCCCCCCCATTGAGAGGGGAGAGGGGAGTATCCGTCTATCCATCCCGGGTATCAGCTTCACTCGTCTGTGGTGTTCATCTTCCTATAACCCCCCCTTCGGCCCCCCATCGACCCCCCCCCCACACACACACACGCACAAACACACACTCCGGTGTACTTCAGGAGCTGGTCCAGGTGGAGTCTCTGGCCCAGTTGGGGGTGCAGCTGCTGCTGTTCGGCCTGGGACTGGAGCTGTCCTTCACCAAGCTGAGGGCGGTGTGGGGGGTGGCTGTGCTAGGTGAGTTCAGCGGCGCCTGGCGGGTTCCGCTGGGGGGGGAGAGGGAAGGGCAAGAGGGGGAAGGGGACTTGGGGACCCTGTGTTTCGCTGCCCATTTTCAATCCTGAGCTGGTGTATTTAAGCGCCGTGAAGCGCACGGGGCACAGCCGCCGAGGCTGCCTGGACCTTAGCTGGGCTGCCGTTCCGTGGGGCACCGACCGCACTGGCTGCCGTCCGCCGCCTCGCCCTCGCTTTCCTCCCCCAGTCCCCCCCCCCCACACACACATACCCGGGGTCGCTTTGTGTCGGCCTCTCCAAACCCCTCTTTCACCGCACACATCACCGTGCATTGGTAATATAACTAACTCCTTACCTGTTACCCCGCCCACCGCACACATCACACATCACATCACCATCCCTCGTCCCCTCCCCCTCACCCCCACCTCCAGGTGGTACTCTGCAGATTGTACTGCTGTCCATGGTGTGCGGCCTGGTGGCGGCGGCTGCGGGGGCACCACTGGCGCAGGTGGGGAGAAGCGGAAAGAGTTACGAGGGGTGCGCGTGTGTGTTTTGGTGCGTGTGTTTGTGTGCAGACTGGCGTACTGGAAAGGGGTTGAGAGTCGGCTAGGGTAACAGAGTCGGTTAGTGTAAGGGAGTCGGTTGGAGGTCGGGTGGGAACCTGGAATCCTCTGGATCCCCTGATCTAATCCGCGTCCCCTCAGATTCTCGCTTTTCCTTTTTGAATATACTTCCTTTTTCATCCTCCCTGCCATGTATTTTAATCCAAAGTTATTGCTTAAAAAACATCACACGCGAAGCTCCTCACCCACCCCAACCCAACACCCACCTCGCCCTGCCGCCGCCCCCAAACCCATGGCCCCCTCCGGCCCCGCCCTTATTCCTGGCGTGTAAGTCTATCCTTGGCATCAGCTTGCATCACTCGTTCGCGGTTCGTGTTTTCCCAACCGCCCAACCCGTACTGTTCTAATTCCGTCCTGGTGTGTTCGCACGCGAAATGCACACGTAGGGTATTTTCGTGGGTGCTCTGTTGTCCATGAGCAGCACCGCTGTGGTGATCAAGTGCCTGGAGGTGATGCGGAGCACCAGCAGCGCGTACGGACAGATTACGACGGGGACCCTGCTGCTGCAGGTACGACCCGTGACCGGATGTTGTTCTCCCCGCATGTAACTTGTTACTTCCAGTTCCCGGGGGCCCCCCCCGCCTACTGGTCAGTTGTGCTCCTTGGCAGCAGCTTCACTCGTTCGTGGTTCGTCTTGTTCGTCTCTCCCCCCCTCGCCCCCCCATGATATCCCCGACGCGACCCTGGCAAAGCTGATGGCGTTACATGGCGTTACATGGCAAAGCTGATGGCGTTACATGGCGTTACATGGCGTTACATGGCAAAGCTGATGGCGTTACATGGCAAAGCTGATGGCGTTACATGGCAAACCTCTGAAGAGATGTTATGGGAAGATGTGTACTTCTGTCGTGTATCATTTTTCACTGAATTCCTCTGGCCGCGATTCATGCGGGATTTGTGTTTTCGCCTTTGGGATCGTTTTTTGATTTGGCCCCCCCCCGCCCGAAACCCCCGCCCGTCCGCCCGAAACCCATATCCCTCGCGTCCCCGCCTGAACCTCATGTGTCCTCTCTTTCAGGACTGCATGGTTGGAGTGATGTTTGCCTTGATGCCCCTCTTTGCGAGCGGTCTGGGCAGCGGCGCCGACCTAAGTAAGAGCTGAGGGAGGGGGGCATGGGGGTTGGGGTTGGGGGAAAAAATTGCCTGAATTGAGGTGGCTGGCTGGTTCGCCTGTCTGTCTGTCTATCTGTCTGCCGGGCGAAGGAAGGCCGACCCAGGGTTTGTATCGCCTGTACGCGTATGTCTTTTTCGCCGTGGATGATGTCTGGGAACGCGCTTGTCGACCTATACGCAGCAGGCAGACAGACAAACAGACAGACGAAAAGACGAGACCCCCAATCACTTGACATGGAATATATTGTTATTGCTCATCTCTACACAGGCAGTCGTAGTTGATTCGTGACATTGTTTCTCTTTAGAGTTTATTGCTTGGGCACTAGAACTTGTTGCGTTGTATTGTACTACTAGGCCCCTCAACCTAACTTGTGGATCCTAGCTAGGCTCTTGGGCCTCTGCTAGCTCGTGTAGGGGCTGGCTAGTTACACCTCTCTGGCTGGGTAACGCAACCGAGGTGTAATAAGTACACACATACACACGCACACACACAACCACATTATCGTTCCTCCCGTCCCCTCGTTCCGCATTCGCCGTCCATCTCTATCTGTCGTCCCCCGCCTCAATACTGTCCATCTTTTTTCTCTTTGTTGCTTTCTTTTTTGCATTTTGCATACCCAACATATATATTATATTTATTTAAAGTTTAAGTATATATATATATAGTTTAAGATAGTTATTTGTTATATTTTTAAACTACAAGTACTGTCGTAGCAATACTCTATTAGCGACAAGATTAGGTGCAAGCAATAACTATCCAGCCTAGGGCCCACTATCCACTGTTCTCCTTATTGTTCTTGTTATTGTTCTTCTCCTCCTCCCCCTCCCGCCGCCGCCTGCGCGTCCTCCTCCAAGCGCCAGTTGCGGGCAAGGACGTTGCGGAGGCTACCGGTCGTGCCGTACTGCTGGTGCTGGCTTCCGTACTGCGACTTACCTTTGCGGTGCTGGCGGCGTTGCTGCTGGCGAAGACGCTGCTGTCACCGCTGTTGAGACTCATGCAACGACATGTACGAGGCGGTTGGGAGTTGGCGGTTGGGTCTCGGGATCAAGATTAGGTTTTAAGAGGGCCGGACCAGCGTGACTCCGCAAGTGGTTGTTCTCGTCCTTGCAAAGGATTACCCATGTACATTCAAATACATACACTACGTAATTACTTACATACGTACGTACATACATACAAACGCAGGCTTCCCGGGAGCTGATTCAACTTTCTCTTGTGGCCATTTGTGTTGGCATTTCGAGCTTCAGCCATTTGATGGGCTTATCCAGCGAACTGGGGGCCTTCGTGGCCGGCGTCATGGTCAATGTGGCGCTAGGGCCGGGACCGACCCACGGGTCATCAGGTGCCGCTGGCGCCGATGGCACAGCCGCCGGCGGTGCCGGCAGCGGCGTTGCCGCCGTCGTGATGCACGCCATGGCGCCTATCGCCAGTATTGTGCCGTTGCCTGGTGCTGGCGGCGCCGGAGGCGGCAGCGGCGGCGGAGCCGCCACCGCCGGCCTCATCGCCCACGGGTCGGTCGGCGTTATCATCAACGACGACGACTCTGACCACCGTTTGTCTGCATTGAAGGCGAAGGGTAGTGACAGCGAGGCAGATTGGGGCCTGGAACCTAACGCACTGCTATTGTCGGATGTGAACAGGGAATGGGAACGGGAACGCGAGCGCGAGAGGGAACGGGAACGCGAGCGCGAGCGTGAGCGGATCCGTGCAGGCCGCGAGACGCTGGGCTCTCATGCAGCGTACTACAGCATAGAGAGCGCCAGGAACGTACTGGTGGCGCTGTTCATGGCCAGTATTGGGCTCATCATGTCTCCACGGTACGGCACGGGGAGCAGAGCTCCTGGGGACCCATGGGGGGGTGGAGTGGAGGGGAGGGGAGTGGGTTGGATGACAGTAGGGTCTGCCTCTGCTGCCTCAATCCCCTGTCGCCTTCGTCCCCTGCCACGTCTATCCGGAGAAAAAGTGGTGATCAAGGGGATAACGGTCTGATAACGGTCTGATAACCGTCTGATAACGGTCTGATAACGGCTCTGATGCTTGGCTGTTGGGATTGAAAGGGGAGGAGGGTGGGTGAAGGAAGGGGGTGGGAGAGGGAGACGGCACCTGGAATTGAAAATTTAGACGGGTGGTGGCCGCTGTGTGGCTGCTGTTGATAAAGAGGCGAGCCTCTTGAGTGCTACTCCATTACCTCTCCTATCACGAGCTTGCGATACGCCCTGGGCTCTGTCTTTTTGTGCTGCTGCCTCACGCCTGAGCCCATTAATCGTTCGTTCGTTGGCGCACCATCGCAGTTTTTTCGCCTCTTGCCCTCGTCTGTGCCCCAAACCGCTCAACTTCCAGCTTCCAAACACATTCTTTCATCTGCCCCCGTTCTGCGTCCTCCTCCGCTGCCCTTTACCTCACGCCGTCTCCTGCGGCAATCCTACCCGCCGATACGCCGCCCATGCCCCGGTCCTCGGCTTCCGTTCTCCCCCCCTTCCTCCACCTCCTCCTGCTGCTCCTGCTGCTGCTGTTGCTCCCCCACCTCCTGCTGCTGCTGTTGCTATTACCTCACCTCCTCCACCTCTTCCTGCTCCCCCTCTTCCTACTACTTCTTCCTCCCTCTTGTTGCTGTCCCACCTGCTGCTGCTGCTGTTGCTACAACCTCACCTCCTCCGCCTCCTGTTGCTCCTCCTCAGTTTCCTGATGGACCACTTGGGCGTGTTGACGGTGGGTGTGGGTCTGGTGGTGCTCGTGAAGGGCGCCCTCGTGGCGGCCGTGGTCCGGAGCTTCTCCGTGGGGCTCATGACGTCGCTGGCTGTGGGTGAGTACGGGGTGGGGGGGTAGGTGGGGGGGTAGGTAGGTGGGGGTGTTAAGGTTGACGGTGGCTGGCAGATGCATGGAGGGGAGGCGTGGAGAACTGCTTGCTGCGCGGCGGAGGAGTTTCAAATGACCTGCCGAGGGATGTCCGAAGCGCCCGAAGTGTGCTGGAGTCGGACTCCGTGGCTCAGAGCAACTCTCAAAAGCTCGGAAACAGACGGGGCATTGGGACTGGGCCCCGAATGTGCTGATAGGAGGACTGGGGCTGAAGGAGGATTGGCGGCGGAAGGTGCGGGTGGGTTGCGGAGACAGTGGGATGCGGGGAGAGGTAGGTTGGGTGTACGGAGTAAGTTGTACGGCGCGTCCTTAGGGGGTACCCCGTGAAATCCAAACCATGCAACCAACTAACCAGCCAGCCACCTTTAACCGTCCGACCAACCAACCCAATGTACCCAACACGCAGGTCTCTCCATGGCACACGTGGGGGAGTTTGCGTTCGTACTGCTGAGCCATGCCGTACAATCGGGCTTGCTGCCGTTGCAGGTATGGGCTATGGGCAGATGGCGGGGGAGTAGCAGCTGTATGTCCGGGGCGGTGTGTGTGGGGCGGTGTGCGGGTCTTGCTGTCGTGACCCTCCGGTTAAAAGGGGGGTGGGGGGTAAGTGGCCTGGGTGGGTAGGGTGGCCTGGGTTGAGAGCCTGAAGGTAGGGAAATTCTTCTCTCGTCCATAAAGGCGCGTCTCTTGCCTGCCCGGCCGCCCGCGCGCCCGCCCGGCCTGCGTGACATTTCCCCTGTGCGTGTGTGTGCGCCGTAGTTCTCGAACGTCCTCTCACACACAACGCCCTCGCACACACCCCTTGTCTCCAACCTCTCCATTCAACCACCCTCGCTTCCCCCAACCGACCGCCACAACCAGCATCTCCCAACTACCAACTAACCCAACCAATTACTCCACCATCTTGTCCCTCAGGTGTACATGTTGCTGTTGGGGGTCACTGCGCTCTCACTCCTCACGACACCGTTCATCGTACTGCTGGCCATGCACTGGGTACTGCCTAAGGACTCCGGGGGGCTCCACTCGAGCACTGCCGCGATGGTGGGTGCAGGCGGAGCGCATGTGATGGTGCACGGCGGAGTTGGAGTGGGAGTCGGGGGAGGAGGAAACGACCCGCGGGTCGTTGTGAATGGGAGCACCGCTGCCGCCACTACCGCTGTCGCTGGCGGGGCGGCGGGCAGCCGACGAGTCGGCGCAGCGCGGTGACATGAGCAAACAGACAAGCATACATACATATATACGGACATGGATTAGATGCAGGACAGCATTCTTGCATATTGCTTTTCCAGGTTTCGCAGTTTGAGAGCTGTTTATTAATTTTCGGGGGAGAAAAAAAGAGGCTTTGGTGAGGTTGGGGTAAAATCCTAGATTTGGGTTTACTAAACATGATGTTGTTTCTGAGGTTCGTTTTGAGCGATGAGTCATGCTGGTGGTTGTGCGCCATTGTTGATTTCCTAGTTTGGACGTGTGTTTGTTTGTTTATTCGTATGTATGTGTGTGTGTGTGAGGAGCTTGGCGACGTGGCAACAGGAGAACCCCGGGAAAAACTCCTCCTCCCTTTCTTCCAAGTGCCGAGAGCGAATGAATGAGCAACGAAGTAACGAATGGATTTGAATTAAAATTTTGCATGCTGTTTATTATAGTGAATGGCAGGTAAAGGGGGGTGGGGCTGGGGCCGCAAAGTTTGGAAATTCGACGAGAGCTTAGGGCATGGCGGTTTACCGTTGGGGGTTTCAGTTGTTCCGTTGGGTTTATCTCTATTTCTTGTTATATTTTGACGGTTTCCTGTTCAGGTCACAGCGCGAAGTCGGCAGCAGGAGTGCTGAGGAGCATAGAAGGAGGAGGAAGTTAGCAGCGGCACCGGAATGCCATTCACTTTCTGCCCTTAGTACGGGGCATCATATGTCGTACTCCTGAGTGCCGTTCCCGGCCTCGCAGCAGGTCTTTGCTTTGCAGCAGGTCTTTGGGGGCTCAGGTCGTATGTCTCGAAGTGGCCATCGCACAACCTTATGATGGGCTGCAGGTGTTGCTAATGCGAGGGCCTTTTAAACCCTTCAAAAAATCCTCAGTCTCTGTACGTGCGCTTTTTTTCGGACAAAACGCGTGTACGAAAATGGTGGACGAGTGCACGAAAAGGCCGAGAGTTCGTTTTATGTGATGGGGGGCTAAGAGAAGTGGCTGGGGGGGGGGTGCTGATGCGAGAGGTGCCGTGGTAATGTGAATAGAGAGAGCGATGAATGCTGTACGGATTGAAACGAATGAGCAGCTTTGCAGCAGGCCCTTTTGACTTGTGTGTGTCTGTGTGTGTCTGTGTGTGTGTGTTGGAAGTGAACGATACTGGAATCGACATGCGCATGTTTGTTGGGGTCCTTGAAGGTGTGCTTTGGTCGAAACGCATAGTGTCTGTGTGTATGTCTGTATGTCTGTATGTGTGTCTGTCTGTATGTGTGTCTGTATGTGTGTCTGTCTGTATGTGTGTCTGTATTCCTAAGGATGCCAACTAGTGGGACATTTGACTTCTCGCCGTGTCCTCTACCTGTCCGTTTGTCTGTCTGCCTGTCTGTCTGTCTGCCTATCCTTGTGGAATGTGCTTACGAGCGTGCATTACCCGTACCAGCTTGCGACGTTACTTTTATTAAAAACACACCAACGAATACACACAGTGTTGGCTCTCCTCTATGGTTTCGACTGCACTTCACTGAATTGATAGTCGTAGTTGTGTGGATACAGATTGCGTAGGGCTTGGTAGCTGACGCATGTAGACTAACTTGCCGTGGTGGCGGCGATGGTGATGTGCGTGGTGATATGGTTGGGTAAGGGGTGCGACGGGGAGTGTGGCGGTAGAGGTACGATGGGAGATGCTGCTGGATAAGGTTTATTGGATGTGAGGCATGTGTTTGCAAGTGCCTGATGCCTGGGCGGCCGGCGAGATGGACAGACGGACAGACGCACGCATGACGAGTATTGCGTCCCCGAGCGGTGGCAGTGCTGCTGTGTTTGCTGCTGTGCTCTTTCCGACGAATGTGCAAAAGTATGTTTGTCTGTCTGTCTGCGCGAGAATGAAGGGGGCTTGTGTGCGCATGTGAGGCAGCGGAGAGAGAATGTCCTGTAGCGCCAGCAGCGATTTCGGGGCGAGTCGGCTGTATTAGTTCTGTTCTCCTGGACTTCGATTTTGCAGGAGATGTTTTCTTCCCCACGCTCCCGGGGCGCTTTTCTTGCTCGGGGGTTTTCCCTCTCCTTTCCTTACAAGGTGGGGCGTGTTTTGTGTTTTGTAAGGATTGCGGGACGGTCAGTTATCATGCCGTACCAACATACAATACCTTAGGGAACATATTAGGGAACGAGAGCAGGGGCCGCTTGGACTTAAGAGAGTCATTGTCTGACAATAACTACTGCTACTACTCGCTGCTCGCTACTTCAACATACATCGAAGTCGTCCCAGATTGCGCGTGCGTGCGTGTTTCGAATTGCGAGTTCTTTGTGTGCGTGTGTGTGCGCGCATGTTTACTTGTACTTAGGGTTATCCCTCCGGAACCAGCGTGGTGCTGTCGTACGAATACATGCGTTGGCTCGAACTGGCAGGCATGGAATGACCGGTAAATGGAGTCCTGACATACATACATACATACGTACAAGCTGTGCATGGCGGCTGTAGCCTAGGATGCTGTAATAGGCGGAAAAGAAACGGTAACGTTGGAGGGCAGCCGTACAGCTGATGAGGCGAAGAACCCGTCGCCCCAGTCCCAGGACATCGCAAGGTCTTCACGACTTCACCGTTCCCTAAGGTTTTAGGGTTGATTGCACTTTGCTTCGCAGCCGAAAGGACACTTTAACGCCGTCATCAGATTTTCAGGTCGTCAAATTCTCCCTCTCACCCCCCCATCTCTCTCCATGAGTGTGTGAGAAAGAGGGTGTGTGTGTGTGTGTGTGTGTGTGTGTTTGTTTGACGTCTGATCTGGAAGTGGAGTTTTCATTTTTAAAAGAACACCTCGCATTTATGGTCCTATAGCGTTTCGTATTGATCAAAAGTAACGGGAAATAACCACGGCAATAATGATCAACGCGAAATATACTTTAGACTGCGCATTTCGGCCCTGACCAAAAGGGATAATTGATCTTCAAGTTTTCAGAAAGGATGCAATAGTGCGTGCATCGGTGTGAGGAGGAGTCATCGGGCCTTGCTTTCCGACGTCGCTGCTCGCTGAAGGCGCTCTCTTTCCGTTCATCAATTAATCAATTCGCATTAGCGGTTCAATTCATTAGATGCACCCGGGACGCTGCAAATGTGCACAACGGTGATGGAGAGATATGCGGGGTTCCGAAAAACTACGTCGAAGCTGCCAGACATGGTAACCGCTAGGGAAGAAGGGGCAGCGCTAGGCCATAATCCTGCTCATAGTTGCAAAGACTTGCAGTCTGACAGCTGATCCACAGCATGACAAATTCGCATCACCGGTTGCTCGACGTTCGGCGTTCTTGTGTTGCAAGCTTACGGTACTCGTAAGCCCAAGCGATTCAAGATTAACCAGTGGCGTTACTGGTAATATTTATTTTATGGCATCCGATAAGCGTAAGGCGTCCAAACATTGTAGGTAACCGAAGGTACGGATGCTTAGTAAAGCCACTGAAATCCTACCACCTGCTTCGCACAAGGAAAAGGCAGTTGCTTTATTTGAGTTACATCCATGGATGCTATCTATTGTTATTCAGCAGGTTATGCACCGAGCCTTGAAACTTCCGCCGTTGTGTCTACCTTGCAATAAACGCTGACTCACAATTGCACCAAGTCTTTGGCAGCATGTAGCCATACCACATAAATTCAAAGCGACATATTTCATTTTAGCCCGAATGAAGCAAAAGACCTTGTCTCTTTCCGCCATAGGGGCCATAAGCTCGCAGTCGGAAGCCGACGTTTACCGCCAAACATACCTTTCTAGCTTCTTAAACAGATTATGAACGGTAGGCTTACATATTAACTTAAATCCGTGGGAGAAACTGCGTTGTATGAGTCCAGCACCCAACTCACTGCAGTACTAAAGTAAAGCGAACAATTTTTGCACATGTACCTGTAAAGTTTAATGAATGCTGCAATAGTTAATCAGATAAGTTTTGTAGAGTTATTGTTCGTCAATGTTATCAAGTTGTTTATTGGTGTTGAAAGCAAGTTCTCACTATGCCAAATTTCAATGCTCGTGTCTAATAAATGCTTACATAGCACAAAGCCGCGGCTTGCCTTAGGAAAATCCGACGGGCAAGGTCGCTGCGACTTAACCGCAACCTCTACTATGTTAGGTCGACCTCGCGTGCCACAGGCGCTTATACTGGAACCTTTCCTGAACTGCAGCCCATATCAGTCTGGGAGCATTGCTTGCAAATTGCTCTGTGTCGATCAAGGACAATAAATGCGTAAAGCCCAATCCCAAGTGTTTGCCCTCCAACTCCAATGCCAGCCGATCTCAGCAACTGTAATTACAATTTTCATTGTTTTATTGATAAGTATTTCTCCATCGCTGGGGGACCAAGTGCTGACCTTTCGCGTGGGGGCGTCCATCGGCCGGGATGGTGCGTTGTAACAGATGGTTTAATAGACTTAAACAATTTCGTCATAAAATAATTTGAGATGAGTACTCTGGCCGGCGACTGGAGAAGGCTAACAGCTCAACCTCCTGACATTTCAAGTCCGTGGCAAACCCTCTCCCTCTCCATGACTCGCACGCATATTATATCAGTATGTCAACCCTACCAATTGAAAATTCAACAAAATGATTCTTCCGTATCCTCACAACATGCCGCTGCAATACCTTCTAACCCAAATCGCAGGCCCCTGCACCGAGCTTTACGAACAAACCGCCCGCGGCTACCAGTACTTCTTCCAATGGCTGGAGCGTCAGCCGCCGCTGCCCCCAGTCACAGATGCCGCGGGGCGCAACTTCACCTTACGATTAGACTTCCGCTTGGTGACCCATAACTGCACAGACGCCGGACGCGCCACCGCGATGGATTCCCTAATTAAAGGCGGCGGCGATGGCAGCGCCACCGACCCGGCGAATCAGCAGCAGCCTGCTCACCTCCTTCTGGGGGGCAACGGCATCACCGCACAGGAAGACTCGGTGCAGGCAAATGCCGCTGGGCGCTTGCTGCTGCATTGCTGTACGGCACGTGACTCAGTGTACCTTCTGGACCTGCCGAACGTCTTCGGCCTTTTCACGCCAGCCAGCATGTATACGGGTGCCGTACTACGCACGATGGCGTTCAGCGGCCTGCGCCGTGTCGCAGTGGCTTACTCGACGGATTCTGCGCTGCACGTGCAGCTTTGTGTTGGCGCAATACGGCAGATGTTGCCGCTGGGGGAACTTCGGCCGGGCTTCGGAGCTGTCGTCACGGTCAATTATACAGAGAGCCAAGCGATGCGGCCCGGATTTTGGGAGCAAACTGGTGGGTGGTTTAGGTGGCTGGCTGCCCCAAACTGCACAGTACTGCTCTGTGCCTCGCAGCCTCACAGTTTGGGGGCAATTTGGGCGCAGTTTGGGCGCTGTACAACCATCGCTCCAAAGCGGTGGTCATATGCGTTGAACGTTTTGTGGGCATGCTTTTATACTTTGAACTCCAACTTCTAACTGCCAACTGCCAACTGCCATCGTCCGCCGGCCCACAGCTACCACCATCGCAAGTTATGAGCCAGACGTGCTTGTGGCGTGTGATGAGATGAAGTACTCATCTCACCTCGTACGCGCCCTCCACGCCACTGGCCGTCGTTTGTCGGCGATGTGGCTAGCGTCGTACGGGAACGTCTTGGACTTCCTGTCGTACTTGGTGCGTGGTGTGTTTGACGTGTCTGCGGCCGGGACAGGAGGGGATGAAGGCACTCCTGCCGCGTGCATCTGAAATTCTTCTGTGTTTTTATGCCGTACGCCCGGCCATTAGGGGGCAGCTGAACGGGCAGCTGATCAAGTGTTGGGTAATGCCATGGCATGGTGCCCTTCGTGGTATTCTCCGAATCTTCTTAGCGATGT